CTTGATGCCACCAGTGTCGCAGAAGCCGTATCAGTCATTTCATGTTGGTACGTCGAGAATTTCCATATAAATACTCTCTCGGGCATTTCATCAAACAAAAACTAAGCATCAATAACGCTTGCTTCCATGGCAGGTATGAGGACAAAACTGAATGGGGAGATCGAGTGGGCTGGATTTACGGCTCCGTCACGGAGGACGTCGTCACCGGCTACCGAATGCACAACAGGGGATGGCACTCGGTCTACTGCATCACAAAACGCGACGCCTTTCGCGGCTCAGCTCCGATCAACCTCACCGACCGTCTCCACCAAGTTCTCCGATGGGCGACAGGCTCCGTCGAGATTTTCTTCTCGAGAAACAACGCTTTCTTGGCATCCAAACGCCTCAAGTTCCTCCAACGCCTGGCCTACCTCAACGTCGGAATCTACCCTTTCACTTCCGTCTTCCTCATCGTCTATTGCTTCCTCCCGGCGCTCTCCCTCTTATCCGGCCACTTCATCGTCCAAACCCTAAACGTCTCCTTCCTCATCTACCTCCTCATCATCACGATCTGTCTAATCGGACTCGCGATCTTGGAGGTGAAATGGTCAGGCGTCGGACTAGAAGAATGGTGGAGGAACGAACAGTTCTGGCTCATCTCAGGAACAAGCGCTCACTTGGCCGCCGTCGTCCAAGGCCTTCTGAAAGTCATCGCCGGAATCGAAATCTCCTTCACTTTGACCTCAAAATCCGCCGGAGAAGACAACGACGACATCTACGCCGACTTGTACCTGGTGAAGTGGACCTCACTGATGATTCCACCGATCGTGATCGCGATGGTGAACATAATCGCCATTGTTGTGGCATTCTCAAGGACGATCTATAGTACGGTGCCGAAGTGGAGCAAGTTTGTGGGCGGGGCGTTCTTTAGCTTCTGGGTTTTGGCTCATTTGTACCCGTTTGCGAAGGGATTGATGGGGCGGCGAAGAAAGACGCCGACAGTTGTGTTTGTTTGGTCAGGGCTTATTGCAATCACGCTTTCTTTGCTTTGGATGGCCATTGACCCGCCTCAGGGAGGGGCCGCGGATGGCGGCGGTGGCGGAGGATTCCAATTTCCGTGATTGAAAATAGAATGGAACGAGTGGTTGCATGGATAGTTTAACGATAATTCATTAATTCTACGTCTAATTCAACTATAAAGTATAGAGTTTGAATCCTCTGACTCTGACCAAGTTCAAAAAGAAGTGAAATTAGAATGTTATTGATGGGTTTGAGAAAAGGGAAACCATTGCGGTGAATTGGGGAGAGCAATGCATCTGGCGTAACGTTTTTATTGTTGTTATGTTTTGAGGGATTTACCAAATTTAGGATGCTACACAATCTAGGCTAGCAACAAGCTTTGTGAATTGTCCTATTCCTTGTATAAATCCGATGAGTATTTTGACTTTTTTCAATGAATGTTAATACGGTTAAAATTTATTTTTTTTTGATAGAATATTAATTACATAATATACATATGTAGCAGACACACATGTTATAAATATACATATACACGCACACCTAACTTAATCCAATTGACAGACCATTTAGAACATACAATATATGAAGATTCTAATGAGAAAGCAATTCATAAAGACACTTTTTTATCAAAATTTTGGGTTTTTTTTTTTTTGAAAACTATTTTTATAAACCACCTTTTCTTTCGATTTGCATCTAGTTAAGCGGAAAATATAACAACTTTGTGGTTCCAAACATGATAGTTTTACGAAGGTTCTAATCCAACATAATAATGATAATATTAAAGAGGGCCGCCGAATGGAAATTTCGGGCCGAGTAGGCGCAGAATTTTATAAGTCATATTTTATTTTATCTTTTAAAAAAAGAGGGACCGGCACAAATAAGTTTTCGGGCTTGAAATCTCAGCCTAGTCCAGCTTGGAAATTTAGATAAGATTGGGCCAATAATAATGGGTCTCGAACCGATCCGTTTAGCTTGACCTAAACTTACACTTTTAATTACAATCCATATTCTAAGTACTTTGATGTCAAAAGCATAAATATAAACAAGCATGATAATTAAAGTTTTTACACGGATAATATTTAAAGCATAATTAAACAAGTCTTAACTTTAAAACCCTTTAAAATATTTTCAGAAATCATTTGCATGATAAAACTAAAACTAAGTTACGTTAAAACTAAAATAAAGAAATTTGTTAATATGAAATAAATACAAATATAGTTAAACCTAGCAATAAAAAGTAACAATACATAAATTATTAACTTCATAACATCATTAGCCATTAGACTCTAGTTGCTACCGTTTTTAAAACTCTGCATTTTATCAAAATTAAAAGTGAGGGTCATTATGTAAAAAGTGAATAGATTGGGGTGTAAGTGCAATCTTCCAAATTTATAAATAAAATCAAAACAAAAATTACCAACACAACCCTTATAGGGCTTACGTCGTTTCCTCGATTTCCTTCCCACTCGTTCTCCTCTTTCTTCGTTTTCCCTCTCTCTCTCTCTCTCTCCACTGCTTGAATTCCACACAGACCACCAAAGCAGGTTAGCTCCATTTCTCTGATTCTTCTTCTTCTTCTCTGCGAATCAATTTACGCTCGTTCTGATTTCTCTCCGATAATAAGCATTTCGGTTATGGTGGTTTTTTGCCTTTGGCGTAGAAAATGGCTTCGACGACAGGACAACCGGCGTCTCTGAAGCGAAGGGATTCGTTGGCGGCGAGAGAGGAGGACAAGCTCGTTATTACTCCTTTAGGGGCTGGCAATGAAGTTGGCCGCTCTTGTGTCTACATGTCCTTCAAGTCCAAAACTGTTTTGGTCCGCCATTGTTATCGATCTTCTTCTTCTGTTTTGTGATTGATTTCTAATTCTCTAATTTTTTAGGTTTTTTTCCCGTAATTTTTTCGTTCATTCTTTTTTGGGGTTCAGTTTGATTGCGGAATTCATCCAGCTTACTCGGGCATGGCTGCTTTGCCCTACTTTGATGAGATTGATCCTTCTACTGTCGACGTCCTTCTCATTACTCAGTGTGTACCTCTTTTATCTATTTATTTATTTTTCATGAATTATACACCAAGATAATTTTGATAATTAATTAGTTCTATCCTTTAGACATATATCCCTTTTTTTTTTTGGCATTGGATTTTTGTATGAAATTCTTGTTCTCAGTTTGATATAGTACAATTGGATCTAGTAGTGGATAGGATGGCTTTGTTATTCATTTAGAAAGTTGTGTGCTTTAATGGTGGCATAAACTTGGGTTATTGGGACTGAGGCCTTGTTTGATAGGAGGACAGAGTGAGAGGATCTGTGGATGGATTTGAAGGCTGTGTTTGGTAATAGGAGAAAGAAAATTAGAAGGAAAGAAAGGCATATCAGATATGTGAGGAAAATAGAGAGGAAGGGGGGACCTTTATCTTATTGTGTTTGGTATGGATTTCCTCTAATCTCTCCAAATATGGGGAGATTGAAATTGGGGTTATTTGAAGGATTTGAAATCCCTTATGCAATCCATTGCCTTCTCTTTTGCCCCCTACCAAACAACCATGGGTTCCAAAATATTTCTACTAATCACCTCACCCCTCTCCCTCCTTCCACTTTTTCCTCGTACTATGGTTAGTTGGTAGGAGGGGATGGATTGAGAGAGAGATTCAAAATCCTTTCTAGACTCCAATTTTGATCCTTCCAAAGTCAAACTGGTTTTAGGAGGAAGGAAATTCATACCAAACACGTCTAGACAAGGGTCCTCCCTTTCCTCACCTAGGTTATACATACCTTTCCCAGTAGGTTATGGTTGAGAAAGAGACAAAGGATGGGATGTGGGTTATGGGTTATGGTTGAGAAAGAGACATGAACACATTGTAGGTTTGATATAATGTGAAAGTGGAAAGTATCAGAAAGATAGGATTCAATGTGAAGTAGACAATATTGAATACGAAAAGATAAAAACTTATTGACCTGACCAATTATAATGTGCACTTGTTGTCCTCGATTGACATTAGCAACCTGTTAAAGTAAAAACATTGCATAAGGATAATGATCGCGTTAAGGAATAGAAAGCTTGGTCAGTTTCTCAAAATCAGATGTTGCATGTTTTTTCCCTGTATAATTTGTATTACAAAGTAATGGATTGGACTGCATGTATATGTTAGATTCAAGTGCCACTTTAAATTGATGTGGTGTTTTAAAGTTTTCTCTTCATCTTTGTGAATTTTTTTTTTGGTCAATCATTCAAGGCTTTGTGCTTTTCGTTTGCAGCTTCCATTTGGATCATGCTGCATCTCTTCCTTATTTTCTGGAAAAGGTTTTCTCACTTTCTTATTCAATTCTGTGTAATTACTCTATTATTTTTATTGGTTTATTGGAAATTGATTTTATGTTTATTATTCTTAGACCACATTCAAAGGTCGTGTCTTCATGACTTACGCAACAAAGGCTATCTACAAGTTGCTTTTAACAGATTATGTAAAAGTGAGCAAAGTTTCAGTTGAAGATATGTTGTATGACGAACAGGACATAAATCGGTCCATGGACAAAATTGAGGTGTGTTGTTTTCTCTTGATTTCATTATGCTTAATTCATAAAATGTAGTTAGACATTAGATTAACTTTTTTAGTTTTTTGAAATGCTCAAGTATATATAAAGAAATAAATTTTACGTGTATGTCAGATAAACATTTGTATGTTTATTTTGTCAGTGCTTGTATATTTAAGCTTTGATTTGGTTTGAGAAGTTATGATTAACGTTTTAAGACATGATCAAATGCTAGAGTATCTTAGACACTCTGCTGTATTAAAAGTTTGACTATTATTATGCATGTTGTGTCTAATTTCTGATTTCCTGGTAAAAGGCATCACGCATTACCACAGGCTGGGGTCTAGGTTAGATAATATATGTTCTGTATGTATAAAGGTTAGATCCCATAAAATACCATCATTTCATCTCTCTCTCTCTTCTCTCTCTCCTTGCTGCAGCAACCCTGGCCCTCTAAAATGGCTTTTAGCAGTGTAGTAATTCAAGTTCTTTACATGCGTCCCAAGCCCACTGGAGTACCATCTTAGCTGCATGTGTGGAATCTCATCTAGGATTTCTATTGTTGCCATTACCAGCATTCTTTTGAGAGTCATTATCCACGTTTTTTTTTCAATAATTATATTTTTAGCAAAATGATTGTTTCTGAAAAAAAGAATGTATCCAGAATTTTATCTGTAATTTTCGTTGCAAGTCCTATCTACATAAAATATAAAGTTTGAACTTTGTTCATCTACCTGGATGGTGATATTCTCCTCATGCATTCTTCTATCTCTTATTTTCTTTCATATTTAATAAATTTTTTTGGATCATCTTGCTACACTTGATTAATCTTTAATTGCATCGTCTTCTTTTAGCATAGCATGATAACAGGATTCTTAATGTATCACCCTTAGAACGTAATTAGTGCTCTCGTCTGATATTCATTTTTGGCGTGTCTTTGTTCACTTTATTTATTGGGTAAATGGGACTTTTCTGAAAGGAGACATTTGTTCTGAAGAAGTTACACTAGAGATTTTAGTGATGGTGCTAAAGTTCAACTCAAGAAGAATGTGTATCTTGAGCAACATGTCTATGTTTAGAACTTATAATGTTGATGCTGGCTGATAGAAACAAGAGATTGATTGTCTTTTTTAAAATCAGTGATGAAAGCTTAGTAGCCTTCCTAAAGCCATGAGCATTTTTTTTTTCTGTGACTATCTTCTTACAATTCATGGTAATTACAGGTTATTGATTTCCACCAAACAGTGGAAGTGAATGGAATCCGATTTTGGTGTTACACAGCTGGTCATGTCCTTGGTGCTGCTATGTTTATGGTCGACATTGCTGGTGTTCGAGTCCTCTATACCGGAGATTATTCACGTGACGAAGACCGACATCTCCGTGCTGCAGAGACCCCACAGTTTTCCCCTGATGTATGCATAATTGAATCCACTTATGGTGTCCAGCATCATCAACCTCGAAATATCCGAGAGAAGCGGTTTACTGATGTCATACACTCAACCATTTCTCAGGGAGGTCGTGTCCTAATTCCTGTATTTGCTCTTGGTCGTGCCCAAGAACTCCTCCTCATCCTTGATGAGTACTGGTCAAACCATCCTGAGCTCCAGAACATTCCAATATATTATGCTTCCCCGCTTGCAAAACGATGCTTGTCTGTTTACGAGACATACACGCTATCAATGAATGACAGGATCAGAAATGCAAAATCGAATCCCTTCATCTTCAAGCACATATCTCCACTTAAGAGCATTGAGAATTTTAAAGACGTGGGCCCGTCAGTAGTCATGGCCAGCCCCGGTGGGCTTCAGAGTGGGCTGTCGAGGCAACTCTTTGATATGTGGTGCTCTGATAAGAGAAACGCCTGCGTTATTCCAGGTTACGTGGTTGAAGGGACTCTTGCTAAAACAATCATCAATGAACCAAAAGAAGTCACTCTCATGAATGGACTGACTGCTCCTCTCAACATGCAAGTCCATTATATCTCATTCTCCGCCCATGCGGACTCTGCTCAAACAAGTGCATTCTTGGAAGAGTTGAGGCCTCCTAACATAATTCTTGTTCATGGAGAAGCAAATGAAATGGGGAGGCTCAAACAGAAGCTTATGACTCAATTCGCGGACCGTAACACTAAAATTCTCACCCCAAAAAATTGCCAATCAGTTGAAATGTATTTCAACTCGCAGAAAATGGCCAAAGCTATTGGGAAGCTGGCTGAGAAGACCCCAGAAGTTGGTGATATTGTCAGTGGTCTACTAGTAAAGAAAGGGTTCAGCTATCAGATAATGGCTCCCGACGATCTCCATGTCTTCTCGCAGCTAGCAACAGCGAACATTACTCAGAGAATAACTATCCCGTATTCCAGTGCCTTCAGCGTGATAAAGCACCGGCTTAAGCAGATATACGACAGTGTAGAATCTTCAACAGATGAGGAATCTGGCGTGCCAACACTGCGAGTGCATGATCGCGTGACGGTGAAGCACGAGTCAGACAAACACATTTCACTTCATTGGACATCGGATCCTATTAGTGACATGGTATCAGACTCCGTTGTGGCTCTGGTTTTAAATATCAACCGTGAAGTCCCCAAAGTAGTTGTTGAATCCGAGGATACCAAAACTGAGGAAGATAACGAGAAGAAGGCAGAGAAGGTGATTTACGCGCTTCTCGTATCTCTCTTTGGAGATGTGAAGCTCCGAGGAAACGGCAAGATAATGATTAATGTTGATGGGAATGTGGCACAGCTTGATAAGCAGAGTGGGGACGTTGAAAGCGAGAATGAGGGTCTCAAGGAAAGAGTAAGGACGGCGTTTCGGCGAATACAAAGCGCTGTCAAGCCAATCCCTCTCTCCTCATCTTAGCTCCTCATTGCACTCATTTTGTTTGTCGTTTCTGTTCATGTTAGTATTTCTGTATCTTTTTTATTCCTCAACTGTTTGAGTGTAGTTTCTGTTGTTTGTTGTCGTTGCAACTAACTAGAAAACATCGGCCAATACGCTTTTCGCTTAATGTTGTTTGTTTCAAGAGTAAAAAGCCAGTACGCTTTTCGCTTCACGCTGTCAAAGATCTTTGGTTGATTAAGCTACCATATTATTTCCTTCAATTACTTCAACAATTGTTTCCACTAAGAATATTCCGTCCGTTAATCATTCTAAACGTTGCACAAGTCATTTTGTCGTGGCTTTTTAACCTTTTCAAGTTTTAATTATCATTTTTTCTCCATCAAAAACAAAATTATCCGATATTCCTGACATAGACGGTCTTTAATTTTTTTTTTTTTTTAGGTGAAAAAGGATTTCATTACAAACTAGAAGCTTTTTAATACAATAATGTTGACACTAGAATGTGCCATTTAGACTTTTAACCCTTTTCTAAGGATGAGCTGATTAAGATTAATTGGAAGGAGGAATTGGCAGGTTAGTTGTTCGTGTACTAGTAAAAAAAAGTTCTTCGCAGCTGTGCTAATTGTGAAATAATGGACGTCTTAGATGGACTTTTTATATATTGTGATTCTCCTTACTTGAGTGTTGAATCAATAGTGTACATATGAAAATGACTTTTCGAAATAATAGCATACATTGATATGATCTTTTTTTTTTCTTTTTTTAATGATTTATGACGTGAGAAATATAAAAAGATATTTTAAAAAAAAAGAAGTAGAATCTCTTCTCATATTTGCGAACTTGAAACTTCCAAGTTGGCCTGGAGATTTGATAATTGATGCCATTTTTTGGGGTTGTAAAATAATGTGTACCTTTAATATCTAACTCTAATGAAGCCAAAGCTGGGACAGTTTCTTTCTTTTTTTTTTTTGGGTGTAAAAAGAACATAATAAAGAATGAAAAAAGCACAAAACATTAATAACAATCCAAAATGAGTAAAACAGCCAAATACAAAAATATACAAGTGGCAGCTCTAACTTTTTAGATGATGGTTACAGGTAGAAAGAGATCACCAGAAATAGTTGAACTCAATTCTTCAAGTCCCATTTCCTTCTTTCCTTCTTAGCAAGAGAGAAAAAAAAGAAAAGAAAAAAAGAGAGCTTATTTCTTTTATTTTTATTTTTATTTTTATTTTTTTTAGAGAAGTCCCTTTTTTTTTTTTTTTTTTTTTTTTTTTTCGGTTCTTCTCTTGAATTTATTATATAATTTCACCGTTATAGCAACCATAAGTATTAGCTAATTGTTAATCTAGATGTTTGATAATTTTACACTAACTGGTTTGGTGTGTGCATCTCATAATGTAGATTTTCAACCAAATGGTCAACCTCCTATTTCTTCCACAGACAAGCCAATAAGCCCCGAGCTACGCAGCGATGCTACTGAACTGCCGAGTTTCACGCCTCCTAGGCGGCTAAGAACAGAAGAAATCCCTCTCGTTGTCAATGAATTTAGGATAGCCTCAAGAAACGCTATATGATGTCCCGGTGCTATGACCTCATCCGCCAGAAATCCTCTCGGAGAGAAAGCGGTCAGATTAATTTTCAATGTCGTCTCATCTCGTATTTGATCTACATCTTATCAATGGTTAAATAAGATTGAAAGAAAACTCTGAAAGAGTGCTGTGTTCTTGCTAATGAAATGCAATTGAAGTATATCCAAGAAAAGCAAAAAGAAAAAAGCTCAATGGCGTGGGTTTTGGGTCACTGACAAAGACCGATAACACTGATTTTTCATTTTCTTTGTCATTTCATTTTCATCCAAAATTTAAAACAACTCTTTCCAGACCTTTTTAGATGGACATCCCTTTAACTTTTTGTATTTAACAATTTAGTCCTTGAACTAAATTTCATAACAATTGATCTTTTAAATTTAAAAATCATATGATATTGGTGGTTCTTTTGATAATTTTCGTTAAGTATTCAACGGTTTTGGAATTTTTTTTTTACACATGACTTGCACATTAGCTTATATTATAACTAGGGTATTGTCAGTCTTTTTCATTCAAATTGGAAATTAAAACTCCCCAACAAATAAAACAAAACATAAAAAAAAAAAACCTCTAGCCCCCACAAGATTCAGCAGCAGCGAGGGGAACAAAATCTTATTTCAAGGGGATAACAAACGACCTTAGTTTTCACGTGAATATGATATCGCGATGGGTACTAGCTCATGAGGGGCGGTGGTAGTGTGGTAGCACCATCTCTTTTAATAAGCGGTTGCTCCCTTTCTCTCCCTCTTATTCTCTCTTATTGTAAGCCAAAAAATGATCATGATGCTCCTGTGCACTTTATCTGTGATGAAGCCGTCCAAGCGTTTGATCGGTGGATTTGTGCCATGATTTAGATCATAGTTCGTAATTTATTACAGTATTTTTTTTAAAAAAAATACACGTTAATCGAGAATAATTCTAAATTATGATTATAAATCTATCAACTAAACGTCAAGTGACATTTACTAAAAAGACTAGCTGTGCAGTATATTTTGTCATTAGAAGGGTCAATTGTCAAAAAATTTTGTTTAGAGATTAAATTGTCAAACACAAAAAATCAGGGATATCCCTGCAAAAATATTCTTTTTGATTATTATCTAAAGAGATGTAGGAAAAAAAAAATATCTAATTGGACTTTTAGATCTTTTATTGACTTGTAGGCAATCAACTTAGATGGAATCAAGTAGCGACGTAGTCATGAAGTTCATTCCAATTTCTAATTATAAGTAACGGATGAATCCATCCATTTTATAATAAAAAGGTATTTAAAAAATAATACTGTTTTTATTTGTCAAATTCTTCTTGTACCTATAGTAATTATCAGCCATTATATGATAGTGCACTTGTTCAAAATAATCATTTGTTTCATTTTTATAATTAGTTGTGAAAATAATAAAAGCATTACTAAGTGTCCGTTTATTTTCTGTATTTGTTCCTGATTCAGAATCATGATTCTCTACAGTGTTTTTCTCTCACAAAATACACATATAAAATGAGAATGGTTCTGAATCATGATTCTGAATATATGAACCAAACATCACCTAATAATTAGTGGTGGGACAGTGCTAAAAAAAATAATCAAATTAGTAATAATTTTAAAATGCTTTTTTTAACTTCCCATAAGTCCACCTCGCGGAACTCCTGACATAATTAGATTTTATACACATACGTACTGTACTGTCTTTTCTAAGCATTTATCGACTTTTAGGAATTTCTTCACATCTCCTAACACTTAAATTTAAGACCTCCTTCTTTATAAAATTTTAGGCTAATTAACACTAACACTTGACTTAAAAATACGAGAGAAGTTTTAGAGATATGTTCGTGATTAAGAACGAGAGATGAGAGAAAGTTGAGAGATTTGGGGTAAAATTTGATGCTCAATTTCTATGTTTAAAACTATCTGCCATTCTCGCAATTTAGAAAAACAATGACTACTTATTAATTGTGATGGTTAAATTCAGTCACCACATCTAATTTCTCAATAAATAATTAGTAAAAAGACGGTTACCGAACTCTAAAGAGAAGTCTTTTCCTTTTTGCGGACGCGCCGACCGAACAAACCCAAAAGACAAGACCTCACAAACAACAAACGACTCGTGGCTTGCTTTCTTTTCAACTCTGAAAACAAAAAATGAAAATAACAACAACAAAAAAACGAGAAAAACATTATTAATTTTCATCTTAGAATAGAAGAACGACAACCCCAAAACACAAAAAAGAGAGGGAAAAAAAAAAAAAAAAACTGCCCTCCAAAACAAAATCAAACAAATGTCTCCAAAACCCCCGTCCCTCTCTTTCTCTGAGGTACGTTAATTCCAAAAACCTCCTTTTCCTCTCTTTCTTTATTCTTCGCATTTTCTATACATTATTTGTGTGTGTGTGTGTGTGTATACACACACGCACTCACCATGTGAATTAGAAGAGAGCTTGGTTTTTTGCTTGTTTATGTTTTAATGGCGTTTGAATCACAGGTGATGAAGAAGCAGCAGAAGAAGTTGAGTGATGGGATTTTTGGAGACGTCTATGGAGCCACCACTATGCTTCTTCCTAAAGACCTCGACCCTGAAAAGCCCATTTCCTCACCTTTCGAGCTCCGATTGCAACCCCCAGATTTTGGCCGTGCTTTTGGTGTAACTCCCTTTTTTTTTTTTGTTATTATTTTTAAATGAAAGAAATTTTGTTCTGCTGGTTTGGTTGTCTGTTTGGTTGCCCAGAAAAAAAAGAAAAGAAAAAAAAAAGGTGAAGAGTGTAGAGAACTTTTTAATCTGTTTTTTGGTTATTTGGGAATTATGGGGAAACCCCATTTTTGTGAAGAGATTAATAATGCCGAATAATAGACCTTTTTGTCTCTTCTGTTTGTTTGCTGAGAAAGTGGAGGAGAAACACAAAGAACAAGGAATAAGGAGAAGAAGAGAGATTATGTTAGAATTTCAAAATCCGGTTATGAAAGGTTTATAATGAATGAAAGGAGGGAACTTTTTCTCTATGTCCCAATCTTAAGAAGATGCTGTCTAGGTGCCTTTTAAATGTTCTTTTTTCCTCCTTGACATGATAAAAGGAAGAAGAATAAGGAAATTATTTTTTATTATTTATTATTTTTTGTTTAATAAGAAATTTTGTTCTACTCTTGTCTGTGAAGAACATAGAGCACTTTTTAATCTGGGTTCTTGTCACTCATGAATTGTTTGAACATAGCCATTCTTTCCTAAGAGGATAAAAATGCCAAATAATAGACCTTTTGATGTTAAGGCTTCTGATCTGGCGTCCTTTTAGTTCTTTTGCTCTACGTGTGGTCACTTTGTCTCTGCTTGTTTTCCGAGAAAATAATGAGAGTTATTTTCCTTATTTCCCAAAATTAGACTAATCCTTTTCATGAACTTGTTTAAAGGGAGTGGAGTATTGGACTGGGCTTGTTGTGTTTGACTGCAAAGAGAATTGTGAAGCAAGTTGGTAAACTCACCCTTGTTGCACCTTTTGATCCTATTGTAAGTTGTGGAGACTGTTTTCCACAACACTGATCTTTTTTCTTAGCAGCTAGAGTCTAATGGAAAACAACCTATCTTTATTTAGAGGTTTATAGATCCTGCTTTTAGTTTGCTGGTACTAGCGCTCTGTCATTTTCAGCCGTTCAGCGTCGCGTTTATTTCACGATCCACTCTAATTAGATCCTAATTCTGTGACCAATATTCCCTAGTGTTATGTTGACCTTTTAATTCCTCATGCTCCTTTCTGGAGAAGAATGATGCAAGCAGCTGCAATGTGTTTGTTAACCATTTTCATGTGATTTTTTCTCTTCTACTCGTTCTCTCAAATACTAAACTACCGTAAGAAGAAATAATTTCAATTGAACGAGCGAATTGGAAACAAACTATCCCAATCTCGAAGTTACAAGATGTTATTAAAAAAAATTGACATAAAGATTACAGCAAGACATGGGGAATAAAAGGCTACGAACCAGATCTGGCAATTATTCCTATCTAGTCTAAACAGTATATTTCTTTGAAATCTGGGGAGAACTAACTAATGCTCGTGCTCTGTTTCTGAGTTCTGGGTGCTATAAGGCTTTTTTTATTATTTTGTATTATTATAATCTGTATGCATCAATTTCTTTGTGTAGCTTTGTACTTTTGACATATATTTCGTGGCCCAAAGAAACAAAGAAAACAATTAGCATAATATTCTACCGATGGTGTCACTAAGATGTGATTTGACGTCCTGCAGGATTTTTTGAGAACAAGAGAAGTTGCCGAGTTCCTTAGTGGGGCTTTAGCAGGGGCTATGACAAAAGCTGTTCTTGCGCCTCTTGAGACCATCAGGTTGACTTTCTTCATTTGTCTGATTTTTTCACTTATTTATCTTACTAAAATTTGATATTTAAATTGATTGGTAACCCGGATGGAAATATTGCTTTACAATACTGAGCAAGTGAGTATACTTGCCCTGAAAAGCTGGTTTAGCCAACTTCTGAAGCTCATTCAACAGTCAAAGGCCTAAAGTAAACATCTGTGGCTTTGCCTTTAAGTTCCTAGGAAATATGGAGGCAACATTGTTTCACAAAGGTTGTAGGCAATTTCGTGAAAACAAGATGTCTTCTTTGATTGTCAGAGATAATAATTATGCGTTTCTTTTTATTTATTTTTTTCTTTTAAAAGAAGATAATCAACCTAAACTGCTATCATCTTCTCCATTCTTTTATCAAGAACACCTGCCATACATCTCTGGAACTCATATATTTATTTAATATGGACTATGAACAAAATGAACTCTTTTATGGGATTTACGGCTGTGAATACTCAGAAAGTAATAGTGTTATGTCAGCCTTAGCATTTTGGAAACGGTTTAGGCCACTTTTTCCTTGTGTTTCTAGCTCCTCAAAGGATTTGATCAAGCGGCAGCAGATTGCTGAACTTTTGGGCTCTTTATTAGTTTGAGTTTCTATTAAAGAAATATTCTTAAAGCTAGTACATTTCCTCTGCATGTCTAAGGATAGTTTTGCAGTTTCTAGCTGAATCGGTTGTACTAGCACACTGAACTACAAAGTTGAAAATTCCAGATCAATTTAGGAAGTTGAAGATTCTACTGAAGATTGCTTTGTTTTTAATTTATGAATTTACAACTATTCTGCGGCTGTGCCATCTGTTCACATCGATACATAATTCATGATATATTACATGATGTGTGCAGGACTAGAATGGTTGTTGGTGTTGGATCCAAAAACATCAGTGGTAGTTTCCTTGAGGTTATTGAGCAGCAGGGTTGGACAGGACTTTGGGCCGGCAATGCAATCAATATTCTTCGTATAATCCCCACGCAGGCAATTGAGCTCGGTACATTTGAGTGTGTTAAACGAGCAATGACATCAGCACAAGAGAAGTGGAAGCAGGGTGATGGTCCAAAGTTGCAAATCGGTAAATTCAGTTTGGACTTACCTCTTTCTTGGATTTCTCCAGTAGCCGTGGCTGGTGCTGCTGCTGGAGTTTCCGGCGCGATTGTGTGTCACCCCCTTGAAGTTTTAAAGGTATTATTAGTATATGGGCCCCCCACCAAGGATACAAATCTCTGGAGTCAAGTCTACTCGTATTTCTTTCTCGTGGAATCTTTAAATTCATCTATTCTCAGTTATAAGCCGTTTGCATTCTGCTGATCATATTTTATGCCATGTTTTGTGACGATATTCGAGGTCTCTGGTTTACTTTCTTTTTTCTTTTTACATGTGTGTCTACTTGTTTGTCACTCTCAAGAACTAAAATATTACCTCAGAATTAGTGTGTTGACTTTGTTTCTCCTTTGTGATGGTTGAACTGCCCGATGCAGAATGCCTTTCTGCTATATGGTATTTTTGCTCCAGAATTGACGGTTTTCCTTTTACTTTCGTGAACAGGATCGGTTGACTGTAAGTCCTGAGGCATATCCTAGTTTAAGCATTGCAATCGGCAAGATTTATAAGGATGGTGGAATTGGTGCGTTCTATGCTGGTCTTTCGCCTACACTGATAGGAATGCTTCCCTATAGCACATGTTATTATTTTATGTACGAGACAATGAAGAAATCTTGCTGCCAATCAAAAAATAAGGAATCTCTAAACCGTCCAGAGATGCTCGTGATTGGAGCCCTTGCAGGTGAGAACCTTGAGAAATAAAACACTTCAGCTTCTGATATTTTAGAAATGGGATGTATACAAGTTACTTTTGAGATTCTCCTATGTCTAAGACATGCACTTAAAGTTTGTTCGTCCATTTGTTTGCTCAGTACTATGTAAAGATCATGAAATTAATACTCTTTAAAAAAGAACAAACGCTGCATATTTGTTTTTTTTTTTTTTTTAAATTAACGAACCTTATTTTGATCGAAACATGTAAATGAGCGAGTAAATGAGACGGAAATATTTCTGTGCTTTTGAGTTGTCTCTTAGGCTGTGTTTGGTAGGAGGGAAAGAAAATAGGGAGTAAAAAAAAAAAAAAGGTATAATCCACGTGAAGAAAATAGAGGGAGGGGAAGATCTTTCTCTATTGCATTCAGTTATGGGTTCAGACAGTTAGCCTCGGCTTGGGGCATGTCATGAACAGCCCTAGACTTATTATCATTATTATTATTATTATTTTTCTAAACAGGGTAAAGATCATATTTCCCATGAGTTTTCGAAGCACGTACTAATTGATTCTAATGCAGGATCTCCAAAACTTTTCTTTCCTTATCATAGTTCCTTTTCTGCAGAGCCCAAATGATTTCATTCATGATGGTGAGTTTGTCACTACTTTCGGTTAATGAGAGTTTTTTACTCGTGCATGGGCAGGTCTGACCGCTAGTACAATCAGCTTTCCACTAGAGGTGGCTAGGAAACGGCTGATGGTGGGAGCTTTGCAAGGAAAGTGTCCGCCACACATGGCCGCAGCACTTTCTGAAGTCATTCGGGAGCAAGGTCTTTTGGGACTCTACAGAGGGTGGGGTGCAAGCTGTTTAAAGGTCATGCCATCCTCCGGCATAACATGGATGTTTTATGAAGCTTGGAAGGACATATTGCTGTTTCAGAGACATCCCTTGTAACTGGTCGGTTCGAAACAAGATTTCACACAGAATTTGCAGTCGAAAGTTGTGGAGTTCTCTGATCCACATGACAATGCAGGAAAAGTCAGCTAAAAGCATAATGTGCCAAGGCCTCTAGGTGATTTTATTGGTAGACCTGAGGCTGAATCTCAAGTTTTGGGTAATTTATTATGGCCGTTATTTTGATTTTGATTTGATTTTTTTCCCCTTCTTTTAACACTTTGTCAGCTGATTAAATCCGCGGTTGGAGAATCCTCTTTCGACATAAGAGCTGTTTTTTTTTTTTTTTTTTTTTTTTTTTTTTTTTTTTTTAAAAAATTACACAGATTTCTTTGTTTTCCGTTGACAATGATGAAAAATATTCACAGTTTTATTGATCAAACATTATTATATATTTGAGGAGGCTCGGAGTGAGAGCATATTTTGACCAAATTATTTACAGTTGTTTTGTCAATCTTTTCACATATAGAAACAACAAGAATGCCATTCTGTTAATCTGTCTTTTAAAATATCAACATCCTAAAGATGACAATAAGCCACGGAGAACTTCTATTCATCCCAACTTAGCATTGGAAAGGAAAATTCAAAATGTTTTGTACAAAATTCAGGTATTTAAAATGTTAAGGTGTGTCAATACTATTATTAAACAGCCAACACATACAATTTTTTTTTTTCACCGTTTCAAAGATTAGGGAATGCTCGAGTCAAAATCTATCTTGTATCTATTATTTATTATTCAACTCATTAAATTACTTACCCTTAATTATACGGTATTTCTAAATTGAATATACTAAAATATACAGTGTAATAAGAAATTAACGTTCCTTTTTATATATATTTTATTCTTAGGTCAAAGTCTTATATAGGTGTAAGCATTAATAATTGTTGTTTTATTCCTGTTTATTCCTAATTCTAAATTTTGGGTCCTTCTCTGGTCCATGTAAAAAAAATTATTAGACTCCATTTTTATTGGCTGGCATAGTGATGGTGTATAATACAATCTTGCACCGATAAGCACAAAATAAAAGTTGCACTGCCAAACTCTTAAGACACGTGCAACTCTGACGGACTTACGTCACATCTGATGGTGGGTCCATTATTGTTTTTTGCAGAAAAAAATTCATTAAATAGCCCAAAAAAAACTAATTAAAATTGGGTCTACAATTTATATAGAAAATTGAGGGCGTGTTTAAGTTTTAAATTTGAATTAAAATGTAATTTTATATAAATTTTTTTTATTATAATAAAAAAATTAAATGTGATTATTTTTAAAATTTTTTTATTATAATAAAATTTAAATTTTAAATTTAAATCGGTGAATAAAATGGAGTTTAAGATAAATATATATTTTTGACATTTTTTTTCTCCACTGTAAAGCAAACATTCCCAAAGGAAAAAGAAGAAGAATAGTCCCGTTTATTTTGTTGATTTGAGTTTAGAATTCGAGTTTTATTACAGTAAAAAGTTCTCACAAATAATTAAATTTAATTTTTTTATTACAGTAAAAAACTCTCATATAAAATCACATCTCAACTCAAATTAAAAACTCAAATCAGCGAACTAAACGGGCTCCTGAAAACAAGTTTCACCTCCGTCTCCTGCAGCCAAAGAAACTTGCGATTGAAAAGGGTGTTTATACCACAGAAAATTAACAAAAAAAGATTATATTTTGAACCAAAAAAATTATTCTCCTTATTTACTTGCAGATACGTGTCAAAATTCACACCATGAATACCAAAAAAGTAAAACCCAGATGATAAGCCAAAAAAAAATAAAAAAGTCAGATGAAAGTTTAAAGAATTAGTTAGAGTAGGTGTGTCTCAATATTTGGTTTCGTTCTGGTATTCGTAGTTTACTTTTGGTTGTGTGTAAAATTTCCCGTGATTGTTTTAGGTGCTTCTATTTCTATTTTCTCCTTCGCTTTTTTTTCTCTATTTTCTCTCTCTTCTTTCTTAGGGATTGTTTAGGATAATTTGAGTGATGATCTTGAGTTGAGTTTAAATTATAACTTGAGTTAAAATTATAATTTAAGTTTGTGTTTAAATATATACATTTGAGTTATGATTTGAATTGAGAATCTTTTTGAGTTTGTGTTTATATGAGTCAAAATTTAAATTTATATTTAGACAGTATTTTAATAAAAATTCAATAATGATAAAATTTTTTTAATATGGTATATGAGAAGAGTTTTATTCGTCTTTTTATTGTGAATGTATAAAAAAAAAATCATCTCAATCAGAATTAAAATGAAAAAATTATGACATTTTTAAGAATAGAAAAAATATTATTCATTAACTTGAGTTTGAGTTTATGAACTCGAGTTGAAGAAAAAATTTAAACTCAAATTTAGTCTTAAATTCGAGTTCAAACTCAAATTTTATGAAAGAATATAAACTTAAATAAAATTGTAAATTGTAAAAGAACACCCCCTAATCTCCTGCAAAACTCTCGACGATGATGAAGCTCGTCAAGATTAATCTTGAAAATCTCAATCTCAGCCCCAAACGCCTCTTCTGATTGAGTAGCAAGGTGAAATACACTCCATCCAATCAATTAATCAGATAAACAAGTGCTTTGAACCCGAAAATTCACCCTCGTTTTACCAACTTAAAAGGACTAGTGGGACAGAAATAAATAATTTTTGTTTTCTTTCGTTCTTTCTTTCTTTCGACTGGAACAAACACCATGATTTCCCGCCAAATACAAATCGAAAATCTCTTAATCCAACAATCAAAAAATTCCACCATCACAACAACAAACCCTCTTCCCAAACTCAACTCTCTCATCATCAAAACCGCCCTTGATCGGGACCCACATTTCCTCTCCTCCTACGTCCTCTCCTTAGCTTCTTCTTCTTCCACCAAATCCCTCAATTCCGCCAAATGGGTTTTCTCTCACTCCTCCATTACTCCACCACTCTTCACTTGGAACACCATTATCAGAGCCTTCTCCGACAGCCCCGCCCCACTCGAATCTTGGATGCTTTTCTCTCGCCTCCTAAGAACCTCCCTTAAACCCGACAATTTCACTTACCCTTTTGTTCTTAAAGCCTGTGGGCGATCCTCGATGCTCGGCTTCGGTGGGTCGCTACATTCCCTCATTTTGAAGGTGGGTTTGGACTCCGATCCGTATATAGCGCATACCCTTATCAGGATGTTACTTGCACGGAAGGTGTTCGATGAAATGCCTGTGAGAGATGTAGTTTCTTGGAGTTCTATGATTGCCGGTTACGTGGCTTGCAAGGCACCTTTGGATGCTTTGAAGGTGTTTCGAGGTATGAGGAATGCTAAGGAAAGGCCGAATTCCGTGACGTTGGTAAGTGCACTTTCTGCCGGCATGAAAACGCTTGATATCGACGTGGGGAAGTCCATTCATGGCTACGTTATTACTAATTCTGTTGAGGTAGACACTGCTCTCGGGACTGCGTTGCTTGAGATGTACTCGAAATGCGGGCACGTTGAGAAAGGGTTTAGGGTTTTTGATTACGCGATACGTGAGAAGAATTTGCAGTTTGGACTGTCATGATATCTGCTCTTGCGGATCATGGCCTCGGGAAGGAGGCCATTGCCTTGTTCAATGAGATGCAGCAGAATGGGCTGAGACCAGACAGCACGACATACGCTGCAATCTTGCCCGCGTGTAGCCACTTGGGCCTTGTGGAAGAGGGTTGACGGTTTTTTAATCAGATGGTTAGAGTGTACGAAATCAGGCCTAGGATTGAGCATTATGGATGCATAGTGGACATGCCAGGAAGAGCTGGTTTAATTGAAGAAGCTTATCAAGTCATCAAGAATATGCCTATGGAACTGAATTCAGTCATTTTGAGGAGCTTCTTGGGCACCTGCAGAAACAGTGGGCGAGTTATTTGTTCCGACGATGAGCTTGGGGAAGTCCTGCTTAAATCCGAGCCCCACCTCAGAACAGCTTGCAGAAAACCTTTGAGCAAGACTTCTTTCCAATGACTTTAAGACAAGTTTTCTTATTTACAACCCTCATTTGTTGAGATTTTGATGACATTAAGATTGGGTCTTTTCATGAGTTATTCTCTGCTATCCAGACGCCATTTTGCAAGTTCCGTCCTTTAATTTGAAGTTATTTACATGAGGACTCCTATTGGAAATCCTCATGCATGATGATAATACAAAATTTGGAATTGCAATTGAGTACGGCTCCACTGAATCACTCAAGAAAACATGATATCAGTAGTTAAAAACTCAATCAATTCCACTCAAGGTCTCGAGTCCAAACCTCCCCACCCCAAAAATTGAACGGAAAATCTCATATCAATCTCCCTTTGGAAAATCAAAGTCCATGTTTAATTTATTTTACTTTTTTTTTTTTTGAACAACAATCAACAGTTGAAATCAGACTTTGTAGTTTGCAATAGCTGATAAACTCACCTCATAGAAGCTTGTGCAGTCACATTTGCTGTAAAACTAACTTAAATACAAACCATCTTTGATCATAGGCAATGTGATTCTCTGAGCTCTATTAGCAACCTAATCCTATGCCGTTTGACCACAAAATACCATCATTTATAGTAATGGGGGACATTATCTCTTCGTTCTCGACCATTATTATCCCACGCCTCTAAAAATGGCGCAAAAAAAAAAAGGAAAAGAAAAATAAGCAATTGTCACCAACGAGGCCCTGACTAAATGATCAACTTCAGTTGTAACTTGTCCTCAGAGAAAAGAGCAGCAAGCAGAGAAGGTAAATGATTCCTAAACTAAGCATCTGAAAGGAGTATAACTTGGCTCATACTAAACATGCTTGAAAGGGGGAAGGATTCTGCGTCGTTGGCGTGGAGTTTCTCGCCTTACATACATTTTCTCCATTTCATTGAGCGGACGGCTGGAACCATCTGCCTGGCTGACAAACTTCCAGCCGCCACCACCTCCACGCTTTCCACGTGGACCCAGTTTCTCGACTGTGAAATTCCACCCATTTGAAGGACGGCGCCGGCTGTACTTGTGGTGGAAGACCTCTCCTGCCATCTGTGTGCCAATGCAACCGCATCAAACAATGACATCAACAAGAAATACAAACATTATTTCATCAATTGGTTCTTAAAGGAACAGAAAAGTAAGGGATTTACGACATATGCATAGAACTTAAACACATAAACAAGAAAAATAGATGCTATGCAAACCCTTGATTTCTATTAATCTTCTAATGCAAAGAACGCTATTGCACCAGTAGGGAATCTCCAAAACGTTTGAAAAGAAATGAAAACGTGATCATATGTTCCCAACCCCTTAACATTGGCCATCTTCCCATCGAGCTTTTCTATAAACCCAAAGTACCTGTACAGCATTTACCTATGATATGCAATCCAATTAAAGACTATTTAACATCAGTGATATCACTTGATTATCAGCCCCACGTTATCTAACAACTTCATCCTCCTCAACTTATTTGCTGAATGAATTACATCCTCAATAGAATGTCTAAACAGCAGTTTACATTACAATTATCATTCAAACAATTAAATCAAATCACCAAAGAGAAAGCAGAACAACAAGAAGTTACCATAACGGTAGCCAAAAGTTTCAGTTACAGATATATTCATACGATTTAAATTTGATTTTACTTTATTTTCTCAAGAACTCAAAACGAACTTACTTTCTTTTTGTTGAACTCAAATCTCTGGAGGAACTCTTGATAAAGCATTTCATCTTCCTTTTTTGATATCTTGTAATGGACTTCGTCCATATCCTTGACGATACCATCCCAACCCTCTGGCATAACTTTAAAGTCAGGTTTGTAGGGAAGAGATGCCACATGGAATTCCCGGTCATGTGAAATAAAGAACCTGCAAGAGGAAACAAGTAAGATGCTACATGGACAAAAGAAGTATGTTCTTTTGGAGATTAAACCAATCATTCACCAAAAACTCAACATGAATTTTGCTTTCAATATAATGTTCATGGCCTTCAAACCATATCGGTGCAATATCTAAATCTCAACAAGTTATGAACCATGGAAAAGTAAACCTAGAAAAGAAACAATAAGTTAGAAGTGGAACTAAACGACTTCTAGTTTGCACATGCTTGATTTTGCTTCGTTTGGTATTTACTACTACTAAATTGTTGAAATGCTTATAGAACTGCTAAATGTGATTGAGTATTGTTGCTCATGGAGAAACATGGTATCTGTTATTTGCTAATATACTCCCTGTCCAAGTAAGGACCCTATCAACATATAAACATTATGCAACCTATCCTAATCATTGTAAACATAAAGCATTATAATTATGATTATGATTATAATCATCTACCAACATTGTACCACAATTCAATGATATTAATGAAATTAGACCAATTTCTTACTCAGGAAAATTATCAAGCAACTGCTCAACGGAATCATCCAAAGGATGACCGAGTTTCTTTTCCATCTCTTCCTCATCTTGCTTGAGATAGAGAATGGCATGAACTCTCTGCCTCATAATTCTATAATCTTTTGCGAGCCTCTCTACTGTGTAAACCTCAGAGTTTTCCTTGTGCAATCGATACATCTCGGCCTTCTCCGAGTCCTTGAGATAAGATCCTCTAGCACCCGGTTCTCGCACTTGCTTCAACAGCATAGCGGTCTCCCGCATCCGTTTGTCCCAACCACCCACTACCTTCCTACTTCTTCGGTACTCCTGTTTCAAATTTTTCACCGGATTGTCAACATTTTGCGACTCAGCTATCTTTGCAGAATAAGTAGGGGCGCGATGGCCCGCGACCTCCCCATCAAAATGCTCCTTGGTCAGTCCAATCGACCATGAGGACACTGAATCCCAACCTAGACCATCTGACGGAGAACCACCAAACGTTTCGGCTGCGGACTTGTCTCCACCATCATTTACACCACTAGGTTTTTCTGAAAAAGCTCGGGAGGTGACAAGCTGACGAGCATCAACACCATTCTCCGAGGGCATCACAGTGCCAATTCGAAAGACGCACTGGGTTTTCTCACAGACAACTCTTGATGCAGATGAGTTCATGCTAAATGAGGTTGAGGCTAGACGAGCTATAGCACGATGAAGATTCAGCATATTTGTAGTACTATTTGAACCTCAAACCAGAAGTTCTAAGAAACACCTGAAGTTAAATAAATAAAGAAGAAAAAAAGTTCTTATTACATAGTTGTAAAAGGCAGAATTGGTAGCTAAGCCCCGAATGAAAGGCTTTTTACACAATAACATCAATCAACAATAAACAAATTCCACATAAAACTAATTCTATAAACTAACATCTATATCAAAGAAAAAACTTGAATAATGTATAAACCCAACTTCAAGTAAGTTGAAACAAAAATGACAAACACAATGGAAGCTCTTTTCATTCGTATAGTCAACAACTTAACGAAAATATCCATATCTCCTTGTAAGTTCAAGTTCTAACTCTCCTATTTTGTGTTCTCCCCAAATACTAATACTTAATACAAAGGCCTGCCTGTTTATTTGTCTCCACTTGATATTTGTTCCCAATCCTTCCTCAATTAGTCTCAATATCATCATCACAACCCAAATAACCATTATTGTCCATATCCAATGAGCTATCCAAAGAAACCCACTTTGAGATTTGTAAAATAAATAATCTATGAAACCCCATCATCGCATTATAGAATAGAATATAATAGAATTAGAAGAAAAATACTTACTTTTGAAACAAAAACTGGAAACAAAAAAATTACAAAAAAACAAAAAACCGACCGTTGAGGAGCTTTGGCTTGAAATCGGCGGTAAGACTGACGCGACGGTGACGGCGCTCGCACAGCGGGAGTGAGTGAGGATGAACTCATTACATCTGAGCGAGCACTAGGTTTCTTTTTTATTTTCTTTTTATTATTTCGTTTATTTTTATTTTTATTTTATTTTTATTTTTATTTTTTTCGATGAAACCCTCAGACGTGTATGAGGGAAATCAACGGCTTTTTAGCACATTTATCTTTTAAATTTCTCGTAATTTAATAAATTATCTTTTTAAATTTTTAATTTTAATAAATTACTTATAATTTATAAAATTATTACAATACCCCGTATAAAATTAAAAAAATAAAAATAAAATCAAATGTAAGTAATAAAGGTTCTGAATTTATAACCTTTATTATTATCGGTAAAGTTTTTAGTACAATCGTGTTTTTTTGTGTGGGTAATACGTGTATTTGATGTGCCTTTTTTTTTTCTTTTTGACAGCTGACGCTGTTTGTGTTTTTCTTTTTGCATATTTCAATTTTGTATTCTGTCTATAAAAAAATAGTATTATGTGTTATAAAGAAATCATCTTTTAAAACCTCCTATTTTTTAAAAATTTTAAATTAGTATATTAATAATTTAATGACCCTGGTTTTTGATACATGAAATGCTGAATTTACTTTTTTTTTAATAATTATGATTTGCATGACTCATAAGGTAATAAAAGACGATTTTGTTGTAATAGATGGTACTAAATTGAAATTATTCCTTAAAAAATGTTTTATTGGTTTTTTTTTTCCTTTTGTGGGTTCATGTATTTTGAATTTATGAGCTTGGTTTAAGTTTGATGCGCATTGATTGAGATAGTTTTGAAACTTGATGTGATGTTTAAACCCTGGAAAAATAATTTTGGAAAACTCCCTCTTAAATTCACGGTTTGAACCTATTTACAATAATAAAACCATAGCTTCATTTTTTGTTTTATTTCCTCACAATTCTCACACCATTCCATACACCAGTTCTCTTGATCTTTATTTTTTATTTTTTATTTTTACTAAGTTTAAATAAAATTTTTTTAAAAACCACACAATCCTTCTGTGCCCATGATAGGTTGTTGCATTTTCACCAATACAAAAAACCTGCAATAAGAATCGGCATTAATTTGTATTCTACAATCGCATAGAAACCAGGAAATTCGATTGCCATTTACATTTTTGTGTTTTGTGTAAAATGATTCAGCTCTCAAGGTTAATAGAAACAGCTTTGCGCCAGTTAGATCTCTTCAAATATTTAGATGGTTAGATCAATACACATTTACATCAGCTTTAGTTCCCACTTTATAATATCGATGGGAAGCAGAAGAGATAAAAGCATTAGGAGAGAGAAGCTACTTCTCATGGAAAAAGTGAGTTTTTCTTGCTCAGCCTCTATGATTTCACATTTTTAAAAAAATATAAAAAAAAAAAAAAAAAATTATACATGTCCCACATTCCAAAACATTGTCAAAACAAAAGCAAAGCAAAGCCTGTAAAATGGGACTAGATTATAGAGGTAAAGATGGCAGTTATCATGGGTCAATGGCAATAGGAGTAATGCGCCTTTTCGCAGGCTTATTCCCAATGGAAGGATCACTAGTTGAGGATGTTGACTTTTGTTTCCCTTCGTTCTTTTCTGCTTCAATTTTCTCGTTATTTGCTACAACAGGACCATCTTTTGGTGCTTCTTCAATTTCCATATCTTCTGGCTTCTCAACAGGACAATTGCTACTGTCGTCCGCGGTTTTCTTTTGTTCTACTCACAAGATTGACACAAGAATTTAAGAATGGAAACAATTGAGAAATGAGATGGGCAAACAAAAAGTGATAATAGTTTGCGTGGGAGAGCCAAACCTGATAAGATAGGTGATCCCAGTTCATCATTTTCGAATTCTACCAAGGTGCAGTAACCATCTTGAGAAGACAATGCTAAATAACGAGCATCTGATGACCTTTGAACAGCAAGTATGACCCCCGTTTGGGCCCCGAAATCTATTTTTAGCTCTCGTAACAGAAGTATAAAGAAACTAAAGTATCATTGTGTCCATTAAAAGTTATTATCTTACCAAGCAATGTCTGTTATAGCTGCGTAGTGAAGACCAGCCAATACTGCAATTGGAGGAATACTTTCCGTATCATAAACATACAAAGAATTCAGAGTAGCCACCGCGAAAATGAGACGATAAGGGAGCTTAAAAAATCCAGCTGCACAATTCATCAAAGACTGTTCAAGTTACTACAATCATATGTCATTCAAGCGATCCTGGCAAAAAGTACAGTTTAATATTAGTACATGGAATTGATCCCCGAAGGTTGAACCGCATAGGGCAGAAGCGAACTGCTATTACAGGTTTACTAGCACCAGGAAGCTGTAGAGCTGGCCTGCAATAGAGTGAAATTTGAGATAATGAACAAAAGAACAAAATGAATTTCCTGCAAATTTTATTCGTTTGTTTAACCATTACGTTATTGAAAGACATGGGATGATTATCTCATAGCCAACATCAAATTGAATTTTTAGCAAGTAGCATGGCTATCTTGTTTACCAACTATGCATTACAATTATTAAGATGCACCAAGTTCGACTTCTTAATGTATTATAATTATCTTATGCCGGACTTTTGTTTTAAGACAGAAACATGAATTTATTGCTGGTAGCATTCTCTTGCCTTGAAAGGTTTCTTCGAGAAAAAATGTAAGCCGTGTTTATTGTTTCAGATGCAGGCGAGACTTTATAAGATCCTGAAAGAAGAAAAGTGAGACATCAAGAAAAAGATTATAATATACACGCAAAAACCATTGTGTGACAGTACAGGAATCAAGCTCCTAGTGGCATAATAGAGCGGTAGTCAATTTTCAGGCATCAAACTGGTTATGTAGCCAATAAGATCATCAAGTGAGATATATTAAGGGGACCGAGATCAATAAGAAAAAAACATTGGGTTTCTCATTCTCCCTCTCAGGAATTGGTTGTAATTATGAAAGGATGAAATGACAGAGGCTGGCAATGACAGAAGGGCCTTTTCCGTCTATAAGCATTTAAAAGAAAATCTGTGTGTTTATGCAAAATAATAATACAAATTCCAGGGATTCCTAATAAATCAGAATAGAGTTCTGAGAGCAATTTTCCCTTTGTTTTGCAGAATGAAACAAAAACACTCAAAAACATTGTTCAGTTGCACCTAATTATCATTACTTACTCACCAAATTGGGCAGTGATTTGGGCAATTGTCACGACACTGCATGTCTATAAAACTCTAACTACTAATGCATGGCAACCATTTTAAACGAAATAAAAGATTGTTTTAACATTATGGGTACTTTTTCAAGAAAATATATCAATGTCAAATACTGCAGACAATCAACATTCCTGGAGTTTTTTATATTCATAAATCTGAAGTTCATAATTCGTGCCAATACCTGCTGGTACAAGTAAGAATGATCCATCAGGTGACCAGGCTAGTCTTCGAAAAAAAGATGCAAGCGTCTCATCATGAAAGAGATGGCTTTTTGTAGACTGCATATCAAAACATAAAGAAGCTTCAACAGCATGTGATACCGCTCGTAGATGTAGTAGGGTGCTCCATTAAGTAGATTGATCTGTAGTTTACTAACCTTACAATTATCTGCTGATGGCTGTTCTGCCTTTGTAATTACATGCTGACAAACATAGTTTACCTTCTCAGTTCCTTTTGCTTTTGCTTGAGGCTTATTGACATATATTCTGCAAGTTCTATCAGAACTAAGAGAAGCAACATACTTGGCTAATGGATCCCACGCAACACCCTGAACATAATGGAAGTGGGCATCCAAAATCTGATGGACGGAACCTGAAAAGCATAAATAATGACAATTAAGGTGCGATTTTCCCAGATATTTTAACTAAAATTTTATATCATTATGTATCTTGTGCTGACCTTTGTTCGCATCCCATATAAGGCAAGAATTATCTACTGATCCGGATATAAGAAATGCACCATCAGTTGACCATTGCAGGTCCAACACATCCTTGCGATGGAATCTGGAAGAAAGAAGGTCCAGTCAAGAGTGTAGTCCACAGAGAGGGCAATAAAATGACTAAATGGTGGAATCTTTGGGCCCAATAGGCCATGCAAAAACTAGATTCAACTTGAGCCCCATACTATCTTAGGGGATAGCACAAATTGAAATTGCAATTGTATCTAGTCGAACTTATTTTGTTCATTTTTATAGACTGCACATATGTCTAAACATTATCATATTTGCATAATGGTTCAAACCGGAACCCCAAAAAGAACACACGTGTATATAGAAATGTAGTCAAAATTCTTTTTGTTCTTATTTTATGAATCCAACATATCGCAATATAGTCAAATCTGTGGAGTTTTAATGTTAACCAAGTGGTGTCTGTGTCTGTTTGTGCATGTACATGATGAGCATTTTGCTCCAGTTTAGCTAATAGTAAACGCAATCCAGATTTTGCCTTCTCTAAATGTGCCTACGCCAGCAGAGCTGCCAAACTGTACCCGATCAATTCAGGATTAATCTAAAAGCTGTGTCTTAAGTAGATAAAAATTCATAGACTTACGCTAATGTCTTGAAAACCTTCCATGTTTGACCAGTCTCTGTAGAATGCAGCTTCCATATTAGTAGCTCACCTCCTGAAGAAAAAAAAAATACTAGACTCAGGAGAATATTATCTATTCACTAAGCTAAACAAAAATGCTAATATGTTCCAGATCATATTAAGACTTAATTTCGTATTACATGTCTTACCATCTGCACCAGAGGCCAGTTGTTCTCCTGCAAAGACAAAAGAGTAATTTTACTTTCAACACCAGAAAGAACATCAACGCAAATAAACAACGTAAGTAAGCACAATTACACAATAATTAAGAAACTACTGCCACTAACTAGAGCATGTGGTAAGAGTGTTCTTAAGTGAGTGAAGTTTCAAAGAAAATTGAGAGACTAGAAGGAAAAAAATTGCGCTTTTTACAATTGTTAGAAAGAGATTTATACACGCAACTGATGCAAAGAGTAGTGCAGAAAACAGCAGAAGTAACCCATGTGTGAAAAGTTGGTGTTAATGCTTTAAGGAAAAGTAAAATGTATTTTACCATTGTTAAAAGGAGAATTATACAAGCAACAAATTCAAAGGGTGGGATAGTAAATACTTGAAGGTAACCAGTTATAAAACAAATTGACAAAAAGGAAATGATAGAAACTGGTACATAAACAATTCACAGACCAAAATAACCAGGAAATTGATCGATCAAAAAAGAAGTGCTGGTTTGGTTTATATTAAAGAAAATTGAAAAGAATATAGAGATATGGGTTTTCAAGAGACTCTTGCACTCCCTAGACCAGAACCTCGTTTAAATTCAGATTTCAGATAATTGATCAATATCCCCCACTGACCATCAGCTCACGTTTTATTCTCCCTGCCACTAACTAACTAACCCCAATCCCAACGCACTCAGACCTTTCTCACAACACAGTGCCCAATCAGACTTTCCCCATATCACAGCACCCAATCCGAGTCTCCTCATTTGCCAGCTCAGCAGCACAACTGTCAGATGAAGCTTCTCTGCTCCGCATAAGACCTGTTTCTCTTTTTTGTCCTAGCCAGTAAGTATTCCTACTGCTTAAGGCCTTGTGGATTTTCTTCCTTCTTATACAACAAACTAATAACTCAAGATGAAGATACTCCATCCAAGGATAATTTAAAAAAAAAAAAAAAAAAAAAAAGATACTCCATCCAAGGATGGTCGGTAATCTTCCCTTTGATTTCCAATTATTAACTGATAGTACACCAGCTGAGGAGGATGGTTCATATAAAGATGCGCAATGACACTGTTGACTTGAAGCTACATACATTATCAATTCTCTCTCCTACGAATAGTAAAAATCATGAAAATGAAAAAGAGAAAAGGAAGCTAGAAATCAGATGATACCTAAGTTTCATGCAGTTAGGCATAAGTTTTATTACCTACAGAGTGACCTTATATTACCTCTTTCAATTCTTTACAAAGAGATTGACATCATGGAGCTTGGTTGCATGCATGAATTCTGTGTCATAACCAGGTTACATCTAAATTTTAATGCGTGTTTACAAAATCATGTTGTTTGAATATAGTCCATCAAACAACATGAAATAAAACCCACAATTTTTTTTTTTTGAAAAGAAACGAGAAATTTTATTAATGATTAAATAAAACCCACAAATTGATTAAAAAAAGGTTTCGGAAAGGAAAAAAAAAAGAAGAAATTTCGCTGATTACACTAGTTAACATCTTCTCCTCCCTCTTCTTAATACACTGAGTAAACATTACAGTTGACAAATATGTCTTTACCAGATGGAGAGAAGCGAAGCACATTTACAGCTGAACCATGATGGGAAAGGCTACTTTGATATGAAGCTGTTGGTAGTTTCTGCTCCGTATCATCTGAATTTATTGTCCAAAGCTGGTAAAATTGAGAATTACGAAACAATTAGTCCAAATAACTCATGTAAAATCTCAAGGACATCGTCAATTCTACATACAAACTAATTTCATTTAGTCAGAAGAAAAATCCCAGGTGCATATTAAATCAAATTTTGAACTATTTTTTAATATTGGTATCCCAAAAACAGCAATAAAAAGTGGAAGACTACGTTAGGTAGACTAAGTTCAAATATCAAATAGGCGTTGCCATTTCATTTTTCATGGAAAATTTCATGTTCGTTCTGAATGTGTATGTTCCAATTAAAGGAAAAATAAATTACAAAATCTAAAAACTAACCCTAAAAATGTCTCAGTTGAAGAAAATTCCGATCGTCCTTAACTGCCTCCTAATCCTTTTCTTATTTGATTAAAATTTCTCGGCAGCCAAACAAAGGGAAAAATTTTCCATCAAGGCAAACTAAATTCGACTGTAACAACTCGAAATTAAAACAACCACCAATACTCCGAAATTCAAATAAAAGCAACAAATAACCAAACCAAGCGAAACTAAGATTGAATAATTTTCGAGAGACGAAGGAAAAAAGAGAACCTTGATGTCGAAATCGGCGCCGCCGGTGGCGAGAAGAGAAGAAATGGGGTGGAAATCGAGGGTTAAGACTGGTTTCGTGAGGTGCCAGTTAATCTGCACCGTCCCACCCTTCATTATCTTTTTCTTTTTCTTCTTCTTGGTCTTCTTGTTCTCCGAATTTGATTTTGAATTTGATTTTGAATTTTTGTTATTAGGGTTTTGATTTGGGAATACCAACTGGTTTTAGGGCAACGAGGCGTTTGATCTTTTGGCGCGATTCTTTTTTATTTGGCGGGAATGGAGGAATGTATAAAATAAAATAATATGTCAAATTTGCGGCTTAAGTCCTCGAACTTTTTCACATGTGATACTTGATTCTCCATTTTGAAAATCTTGGCATCTAAGTTCCCAAAGCTTCAATTTCTAAAAGCCTATTAATCCCTTTATAATTATGTCGTTAACCCTCCTTTTACTCCTCTTTCACTAGAAAAGTTTTGCATTTGGATCCCCACATGACATCATGTTATAATGAGAGAATAAACTTGCAATTTGTTATCTCTAATGTTAAATGCAATTCAAATGTTGAAGATGTGTATGAAAATTTATGGGTTTAAGGAGTTGTAATTTTTTTTTTCCTCTTTTAGTTGAAACATAATGGTAAAAATAAATGGTTGTGGGACATTATTAAATTGAACGAAAACTATTTCACTACTTCAAATGAGAAAAAACAAATAAACGTTTTTTAATCGCATATAAATAAAACATTGTACACGGTGAAAGGGGATTACTTGTCTATGTCAAATATCCATCAAAATTAAACAAAATTTTTTAAGTAAAATTATTATGAAATTCAAGCTAAAACCTAAATAAATTACTGAAAACGAAAAATAACGAACGAAAAATACAATTACAAATCACACCAAGGATTTTATGTATGCTCACCGATTTGGTTACGTCTTGTTTCTATTACCACAGATTTTATTATAATTGTTGAAGAAATTCAATACGCAGAATTACTCAATCACTCTTGTGTTTCTCTCTCCCTCAAATAAGTTTCTCTCAACCATCACACATAAATTTCTCTCATAAATTCATAATAATTGAAACCCCTAATGATAGGTATTTGTAGAGAACAAGAAAAGTCTAAAAAAACACACGAAAACCTAATTTTTACAGACTTGGCGCCACGACATTGCCTTCTCGGCGTTGCAGTGTCGGGCAAGAATTTCTAAAGAAGCGCGACACAGCGTCTGGCGCTATGGCGCTAGTTCCTTGGCACTATACCGTCAGGCGTGATTTTTCTAGGCAATGCAGCACCCGAGTCTTGGAGTTGTAGCGCCGAGTCTTCTGCCAAAAGCTGCATGTTGCAACTTCCAGTATCGTGGCACCCATGTCTAACCGGAGCCGCAGTGCTCAATGTCGATTTTCCTCCTCTTTTTTCCACTGCTTTTGTTCCACGCATGTGATTAGGCTCCATCTTCAACACTCAGTACAAGAATAATCACTTTAAGAGACCAAACTTTTTGATACCAAAAAATTTTTGGTAGTAGAAAACACACTTTTTGCTACCAAACTTTGGTAGCTGAAATTATCAAGGCTTTAGTTACCAAATTTGGTAGCAAAAACAACACAATCCGCTACCAAATATAATTTGGTGACAAATAACATGGCGGGAAATGAAATTTGGCTTCCGCCAATAGTTTTTTGCTACCAAAATAATATTTGGTAACAAAAGCATAAGATTCTGCCACCAAAATTTGATACCAAAATATTACTTTTTTACTACCAAACATGTTTTATTAACAAAATGTTGGCGGGAAGTAAAATTTTTTCCCGCCCAAGGTATTTGCTATCGAATTATTTTTGGTAGCAAAGCAAATAACATTTGCTACCAAGTGTTGGAAGCAAAATATAACTATCTGCCACCAAAATTTGGTAGCGAAAAATCAAGTTTTTACTACCGAAAAATATAATTTTTTGCTACCAAATTTTGGTAGCAGAAAACAAAATTTTACTACCAAATTCATATTTTGGTTGTAAAAAGATGTTTTTTGCTACCAAAAGTTGTGTTTGGTAGTAAATCATATAAAAACTTTAAAATTTATATTTTGTGCTTGTATTGTTTTTTTTTTTTTCAATTTTCTATGAATATGTCCTATATTAAGTTCTAACAATCATCCTAGTATATTGTGTATAACAATTATTTGATAATTTAGTTATTTTGTGTAGGAGTAACAAGAGACATGTTCACGTGTACACATATGTGATCTTGTTAATTAAGTATATGTTCCACATAGAGTAGTATATAATCTCGCTATTTGATTGATTTTTAACTTTGAATAATGTATTTCAATTTCAAAACTACATTTTTTGTTATAATGTTATTAGAACAATGATTCTAAAATAATTTTTGTCATTAAAAGGTTATTTTCTTAATTTGTAATATACATCTTTCTGGTACCAAATTCATATTTGGTAGCAAAAAATATGCTTTCAGCTACCAAAACAATGTTTGGTAACAAAAAACATAAGTTTCTGGTACCAAATTTTGGTAGCAGAAAACATGATTCTGCTACCAAATTCTTATTTTGGTGACAAAAATGTGTTTTTTACTACTAAAAGTTGTGTTTGGTAGCAAATCATATAAAAACTTTAAAACTTACATTTTGTGCATGTATTGTTTTTTTTTTTTGTTTTCCATAAATATATCTTATATTAAGTTTTAACAATCATCCTAGTATATTTTGTATAACAAGTGTTTAATAATTTAGTTATTTTGTGTAGGTGTAATAAGAAACTTGTTCATGTTATATATATATATATATATATGATCTTGTTAATTAAGTATATGTTCTACATAGAGTAGTATATAATCTTGCTATCTGATTGCTTTTTAACATAGAATAATGTATTTCAATTTCAAAACTATATTTTTTGTTATAATGTTACTAGACCAATGATTCTAAATAATTTTTCTCATTAAAATATATTTTTTTAATTTTTAATATATGTCTTTCTGGTACCAAATTAATATTTGATAGCAAAAAATATGTTTTTGGCTACAAAAGTAATGTTTGGTAACAAAAAATATAATTTTTTGGTACCTAATTTTGGTAGCAGAAAACATGATTCTGCTACCAAATTCATATTTGGGTGGCGAAAAGGCATTTTTTGCTACCAAAAGTTGTGTTTGGTAGCAAATCGTATAAAAACTTTAAAGCTTATATTTTGTGCTTTTATTTTTCTTTTGTTTTAGTTTTCCATGAATATGTCATAAATTAAGTTTAACAATCACCCTAGTACATTTTGTATAACAAATATTTGATAATTTAGTTGTTTTGTATAGGTGTAACAAGAGGCATGTTCGTGTTATATATATGATATTGTTAATTTAGTATATGTTTCACATAGAGTAGTATATAATCTTGCTATTTGATTGGTTTTTAACATAGAATAATGTATTTCAATTTCAAAACTATATTTTTTGTTATAATGTTACTAGGCCAATGATTCTAAAATAATTTTTCTTATTAAAATGTTTTTTTTAATTTTTAATAAATGTCTTTCTGGTACCAAATTAATATTTAGTAGCAAAAAATATGCTTTCAGCTACCAAAATAATGTTTGGTATCAAAAAATATAATTTTCTGGTACCTAATTTTGGTAGCAGAAAACATGATTATGCTACCAAATTCATATTTTGGTGGCGAAAAGGCGTTTTTTGCTACCAAAAGTTGTGTTTGGTAGCAAATCATATAAAAACTTTAAAACTTATAATTTGTGCTTTTATTTTTCTTTTGTTTTAATTTTCCATGAATATGTCCTAAATTAAGCTTAACAATCATCCTAGTATATTTTGTATAACAAGTGTTTAATAATTCAGTTGTTTTGTGTAAGTGTAACAAGAGACATGTTCATGTTATATATATATATATATATATATATGATTTTGTTAATTAAGTATATCTTTCACATAGAGTAATATATAATCTTGCTATTTGATTACTTTTTAACATAGAATAATGCATTTCAATTTTAAAATTATATTTTTATGATAATATTACTAGAACAATGAATATAAAATAATTATTATCATCAAAATGTATTTTTTTAATTTTTAATATATGTTTTTCTCCTACTAAATTAAAATTTACTGGCCAAAAATATACTTTCAGTTACTAAAATATTGTTTGGTAACAAACAACGTAAATATTTGGTAAAAAAAAAAAAACAAAATTTTTGTGGGAAAAACATTTTAATATGCACTCCCTAAAAATTCAAAACACACCCACCACCTGTTCTCTTTCTCCCACTTTTCTTTTCCTTTTTCTGCCTGTTCTATTTCTCCCGCTTTTCTTTTCCTTCTTCCGCTATTCTCTTCTTCTTCTTTCGATCTGCAACAATCCATGGGGCTCCTCGTTGGAGTTTCACTCGGCCGGCGTCGGAGATCCACTCAAACCCAAGTCTTCTTCTTCTTCTTCTTTCGATATGCAACGATCCATGGAGCTCCTCGTTAGAGTTTCACTCGGTCGGCATCGGAGATTCACTCAAACCCAAGATAGGTGAACAGGTGTTCGCGGTGGCGACTAGGTCGAGACGAGGAGAGAGAACAGGTGCCCGCCGGTGGCTGCGACGTCAAGGCTAGGCTCGTCGGAGAGAGAGGATGGGTTGGGTTATGTTACACCATGGTCGACCATTCAAGCCACCCACTTTTGTCGTACGCGTCGAGAGCTCCGAAAGTCAGGACAAATCCCTGACGTCGAGAACTAACAACTAGGGAGATGTCTCTAGGTTGAGGAGCGCTTTTAGAGTCAGGGTGTTGGAGTCGAGAAGTGCTTAAGGTCCTCTTAAGGCCTTTGCATCGTTGAAGTCGAGAAGTCTACTAAAAGCCCTTTGAAGCCTCTGCGTCGAGGAGTCAAGGTATTGGAGTCGAGAAGTGCTTAAGGTCCTCTTAAGGCCTTTGCATCGTTGAAGTCGAGAAGTCTACTAAAAGCCATTTGAAGCCTTTGTGTCGAGGAGTCAGGAATTAGATCATACCGGAAGCAGTCTAGTCAAATCCAACAATGGTCTTGTCAACTCAGGGAAGGGAGTACTGGTCCAACTGCTACTGCAGGAGTCAGGAAATCAGGCGGCAGATGAGAGGGATCAGCCGCATTTCCTGAGATTGTCATCATGAAAACTCACCTACCCTCCCGAATATCGAGGATGGGAGATGGCTTCCTCCTTGGGAACAGAGAAGGCTTAGTTGTTTATAACCGCCTATA